ATTCTTAAAATTCAAGAGTGGGTTTTGATCCTTAGGTGATACTTAAGCTTAAGGAAAGCTTAAGTTGTCTTATAATCAAAAGATGAAGAAGTTATGAAAGATTAAAGAGAATGGATTTCAAAGTGAATTTTTGAAAAAAGAGTTAATAAGTGAATTTAGAAGTTGAATTTGACTTGTCATAGGAATGAATAATAAGCTATAAGTGTTAGAATTAAGTTTGGATAACAAGGAAAATTGGGTATGATGCTTAGCTTTAAGAATTTGAATGAAGTATGGGAGATTTTAAAGTGTTGAAATGATAGAAGTTAGTTAAAATGGTTGTAGTTAAGTTTGGTGGTATGAAAAGAACTTTGTATGAGAAAATTTAATGAAGAGATGATGATTTTCGGGTTTGAACAGTAAATTCCCTATGGGGAGGGTATCGATACCCCCTAAAGGAAAAGTTGAAGTTTGGTTCATTAAATCTGTTTAAGCTATTAGTAACAAGTTATAAGGTTTAGGCTTTTGATAATTGTCTCGGAAATTATGTTTATGTAGATATCGAGCCTAAACGAGTTCCAGAACAAGTGACAAGTAAGAACGATCGAGGGATTAAAAACTATTGATAAAGAGATAAGTTATAGAATTGGTTCAAAATCAGCGAGGCTAAGTGAGTGTCCATACTTGATAGAAATGTATGGAGATAAGACTTGCGATAAGTCTATTTGAATTCATGATTTCATATTCATGTACATGCATCCACACACACATATATATATATATATATATATATATATATATATTGGATACAGTGATTTCATGCATAGTTCATTTATGCTTTAATATGATATTATATAAAAGAATGAAATTGTCAGAGAATCAATCAAGGTATGTGAAATAATGAAAGTAATCATATGTGTACATATGAAGTGAAATATATGTTTATATGAAAAGTGATAAAAATGATATGAAAATGAGAAATATATTCATATTTAAGCCCATGTGAGTTAATATGGGAGTTGTAGGTATAATTGGCATGCCAAGAGTCGAGGGTTCTACGTGGTCCTTCGGGACATATATGTAATTATGTGGAACATATATGTGGTACTTTGGTACACTTATTTGGTCCATTTTATTATGTATATGCTTCTTAAGGAGTGGTCCTTCAGGATATATACAGTGGTCCTTTGGGACATATACAGTGGTCATTCGGGACATAATGGTCATTCGGGACAAATATTCAGTGCCCCTAGTGGGAATTTATACGAGCTGTGGTGACAACATATGTGCACAACCTCAGTGTACTCACGTACCTTCTGTTCTCAATAATGTACAAGGGCAATTGAAAGATAAATTAAAGTGAAAGTGGCATAAGAAGGTAAGTTCATATGTGAATGACATGATCATATATTGTATAGTGCAATACATACATGCAAGTTGTAATGTCATGATTGAATGGTAAGAGTGCATGTTTCATGAATGCATCAATATATATTTATTTTATGCCTCACTAAGTCTATGACTTAGCGTGTAAGTGATTTACACGTAGGTACCAAGAACTAAAGAATAGCAGAAATAAAAGTGGCAAGAACAACAACACTGCTAGAAGATCAGATCAGAAGTAATTGATAAAGTATGTATTTTGATTGTGTATAATATGTTGGCATGTAAGAAATGTTTTGGTATGAACGCTCTGATCAACTTTTCTAATGTTTTAAATGTATTTATGTAAATGTAAATGTATTGTAATGAACAGTTAAATTTTTACGAGTTTTATGTATGTTTTACGGAAGTACTGTAGCAGGGTATTGTATAGTAATAACTGATTCCCTGTTTGTAATCTGGAAAATTTAGCATTTGGGACTGTAGCAGGGTAATGTTCATTATTGTTAACGGTACGGGTTGAGTACCTCAAAATTTTATTCCGAATATAATTTAATAGTATATTATCATATTTTCTTAAAATAAGTTCAAATGTTTTGTTATTTTATAAGCAAAAGAGTTTTAAAAAGTCAATGTGACATCTCAGACTCGTATTCGGGTCGGGTACGGGTTGGGATGTTACAATGTTTGTCTTTTAGAAATTAGGGTAAATGAATGTAATATGGATAACATATGGTAGAAGCATTTTGCTAGATGGTATGGGGTGTACAATTATGGATAAGCTACTAATGGGGGGATCTAAGTCTTTTAGAGGGATTCTATTCAGTTCACCATGATTGCCTTCATTAAACAGTTGTTACTATGATGGTCTGTTCTAGTCTTAGGGATTTTATTATGTATGTTGTTTATGCTTGTAAATTAGATATTGATAGGATAAGGTTGTGGAGTCATTTGGGTGGTTTGTAGTCTCGTAATGGGGATAGACCTTATGAAGGATTTCAATGTCGTGTTGCGTTATGAGGAATCTTTATATTCTACTGACGAAGACCATGTTTCTAGGGATATAGTGAAATTTAAGGATTGTGTTACTTCTTTGGGGATTATGGATCATGTAGTTTTGGGCCTTATCTTTACATGGTTTAATTATTAGGATGAGAGGTCCCTTTTGGGGGAAGTTAGACAAAGTCATGGTTAACCTTGCTTGGTTTAGGGGTTTTCTCGTTTGTTGGTGGAGGTTCTTGCTCTAGGGGTCTTGGATCATTGTCACATTATAGTTCATCTTGACAAATGAGTTAGGTTGGTTCTTAAACTATTTAGGTTTTTTAATTTATATGTGTCTTCTTGACTTCTTAAAGGTTGTGAAAGACTCTTGGTTACAGCTGGTGGTAGGGAAGGATGCTATGACTACCTTGTTGTCAAAGCATAAAAGGTTGAAGCTTTCTTTAAGGTATTTTAATCAATCTAAGTATGAGGACATTTCTAAATGGGTGTAGGAAAAAGAGTCTAATGCTGCTCTCGGTTGAGGGAGACAGAGTTTTTTTACTAAGTTTTTGGAGCTCCTTGATGTTGAGGAAGGCTTTTGTAGGAAGATGTTCTCTGGTGTCCTGGATTCAAGAGACGGATTTGAATATAAAGTTATCTCATACTACGGTTGTTTCCCAGTAATAGATGAAGGGAGTTATGCACCTTAAGTCATAGGATGGTAGAATGCTTGAGAAAATTGATGATATTGTAGGGGAAGCGGTTGCTTTCTTTGAGGACTTGTTAGGGAGGCTTAATAATGACATTAATGGATATTTTGTGGCTTCATTGAGGAGCATTTTGAAGATTATCTTCTTGAATGAGGCAAAAGTTATTATGAATAGGCATGTCATTATAGATGAGATCAATGGAAACAAGGCATTTGGCTCGGATGTCTACATTTCTTACTTCTTTAGGGCGTCGTGGAATGAGGTAGGGGAGGACTTGATGAATGTTTTGAGTCACTTTTTCAATACAAGTTTTTTTGCATCCTACTTTTAATAGTACGACTTTTGTGCTTGTGTTAGCATTAGTGCCCTAGGTATATTGTATGGATATGATATTTTGAGGACAAAGAGTAACCTTACAACTCTCTCAAGAATTATACCCTAAATTCTTGAGCACACTCTTTTTCAAAGAGAAATACACAAATTTGCAAACTTACAAGGAAAACCTCACAAAATATATTATTTGCACAATTCTAGAACAAAGAAAGAATACTCAATAATAATACAATTGAGTACAAGTAGTGTTCTTTGAAAGTAAAATGAATATTGAATGAAAAATAGGCTTGAAGTGCTCAAACTTGAAGTTTGATGCTTTCTCTTTGATTCTCTCTTAATTCTTAATTCTTGTTGTTGATCAATGGCTTCTAAGCTTGTTTAAATATTCATTGGATCACTTCTGAACATTGGGGATCATTAATGGAGTCAATAGAGTCGTTATTGTGTGAAAACAATTAATAAAACAGGTAGGAGCGTGTGATGCATCGATGCATAGGGCTAGTGCATCGATACACTATGTGTAAAATTCAAATATTTTGACCGTTGGAAGACTTAGTGCTTCGGTACAGTGAGAGTGCATCGATGCATAGAGCACATTCGATGTTTTAAAATAGCCGGGGTGCATCGATGCATGGCTTGTGCATCGGTGCATTAAATGCATTCGATGTTTCTATTTGTTCAAGGGTGCATCGATGTATAGGGAGTGCATCGGTACACTTAATGCATTCGAAATTCAATTTAATTGAGAGTGCATTGATGCATGGACTAGTGCATTGGTACATCTCTTTGAAAATTGAATTTTTGGCTTGGTTTTGGTTCAACATTCTTTGTGAAAATTGTTTCAAAAATATTTTAAGTATAAAACACAACTTTACACATTAGTAAGGATTGAAATTGAACTTTGAAAGACTTGGAGTAATATTTTCATATTCGAATAATTATATCGAATATACTTAGAAAGTCTTTTGTAAAATCTTAAAATTCATTTAACTTAATTTGTTATATCGAAACATCAAAATGTTTTCAACAATCTCCCCCTTTTTGATATAACAAAACCTTTTAGTAATTTTAAGATTTTCTAATCTTAACACCTTTTGAAATCAATTACCCCCTTACTATGATACATCTTCTCCCCCTTTTTGTTAAATCAAAAAGACTCTAATAAAAGCATTTGAATAAAAAGTTTTGAAACATAGCCAATTGATTTTTATAAATGTAGCTTAAGCTGCTAAGATCACAATTAATAGAAAGGTTAACCATTAGTTTCATAATCAATATTCATAAATAGATATGTAATGGAAAATTTGTCATATATGTGAAATGATGCAAAAACTATTAAACCAACATAAGTTCAACAACCATATATATAAAATAAGTTTTAAAATCCAAGCATCCAAACCATAAATCCAAACAAAATCAAACATTCAACAACCAAAGGAAAATAATTCAAAAACAACAAAATGTTTATCAATCCAAGTTTTAAAACCAAGAAAGCATAGAAAGTAAAGATCTACTCCATCGGAGGGTCGGGAGGAGGAGGATAATGTGCTCATACTTCAAGAGTGAGAGCGTCCATACGTTCATGCATCTCCCGTTGAAACTCAGTCAGTTGAGATTCCATGGAGGTAGACCTAGATCAAATGACTCTATAAATGTTCAAAAATATGGAGGCATTTGTTCCTCATGCCGTGCTGGTTCCGGTACCGGAGGATCGTCATTAGGTACTTTCTCATCAATATCTTGCATGAGCTGCTGAAGCTCGGGATCATCTTCAGCAGCCGGTGCCGGAGGAGGAGGAGCACGAGAAGATCTAGGAGCAGAACGTGAAGAACTGGCTCCCTGAGTTTGCTTAATGGGTCGAAAGACCCATTGTCCAGTTTCTTCATCCTGTTTCCAATCAGCTTTCTTCAAAGAGGTGAGATTGATATGGTTTTGAAGAGGAATGGGATTGTCAAGAGAGAATCTAATGCTCAGTTTGATAAAAATATTACTAAGTAGACACCCATAAACCAAAGTTTCGACATGTTTAGAAGGGACAACATTTATGGTATCTACTAGTTCACTAAAAATAATATGTGGCAAATTTATTTATCTATTATGCTGGATACGGTGCATCCACCATAAATCCCTGACACGAAGAGTGGAGTACCTACCTCCGGATGGTCAAAACCACCAAGAGATCATTAAATATAGAAAATGATCGTGATGTATACGTAAGGTACTAACACTAGCATTAGGAATATAGGGATATGCCACAGTTTCTTTCTCATTATATAAACCATTGTCATGTAGCCCAAATTGATTAGCTATAGTCTCGGAGTCAATATGAATATATTGTCCTAAGAGATAGGATCTGATTCCTATAGTCCCACATTGGCTCTCATTTTGAATACATACTGCATTAGAGTAGAAAATGCGGACTAACTGATGATAGACAATTGGTTTAAGGTGAAACAGTTTATCAAACTTCCAGGATTTGAGAGTTGGCATGTATTCAAAGTTGATATCTACCATTTCTTGAACAGAGGGAATATGTTCTTCCCGGATTTTGTATGATTGGAAAAAATCCATGTACCTATGGTAGAGTTCTTCTCTATGACGACCAGTCATATTAAAACATGAATTTAGAATAGTCATATTGGGATCGTTTGGATGTGGAGGTTGAGGAGGAATAGGATTAGGAGGTCAGTTAGAATGAATTGAAGAAGTCCTAGGGCGTTTAGGGCTTGACATAATTTAGGAATTGGAATTGGATAGGTAACCTGCAATTTGAAAAACATGTATGCAATTTAATATATCCCAAAACTCAAATGAGTCCGCAATAATTCAAGATTCTCTAAACCGAATCCTAATGGGCAAGATTTTGAAAACTATTTGAAAATAATATTTGAGAAATCATAATACATATAGCTTTAATGAAAACAACACAATTAAAAAAACATCGATAATTTTTTGAAACTATTTTTTTTTTCAAAATTTCAAAGAAAATTTTGAAAATTTGTTTGTTTTTTATGAAATTGATTGTAAAAGATAGTTTAGAATCATACTGTAATCATTGCCCGATATAATGTTCGTCCAAGAACTAATCTAAACTAGTTATAAAATCAAAATTTGATAAAACATAGGTTTTTGGAAAAATACCTTAAAAGATTCAGATGGAGTGGAATGTGATGATGTTTTGCATGATTTAATGAAGTTAGCAGGATTTGGAGAAGTAATATGAGTAATTTCCGATCAGAAACATAGGTTTTGGAGCAATTTTGAGAGTGAGGAGAGGGAGAGAAGCGACGACAGTTTGAGAGAATATGAGAAAATGAAGAAGAAATAGGGTTTTTAACCAAAAACCCGACGGATGCATTGATGCATGGCCTTGTGCATCGATGCACATTCAAGGAGTGCATCAGTGCATCTTCATGATGTATCGATGCACATTCAAAGGGATATATCAATGCACTTGTATAGTGTATCGATGCATTATGCACAAAAATGTCAAAAATCTGTTTTAAACATTTAAAATGCTAAATAAATTAGATCTAGTGGTATTTGCAACTCATATATTGAAAATTAATCATGTTCAATCAATCAATTTTATCCTTAAACTACATTTGAACATAAAATTAATTTTCACTAAGAATCATAAACTCCCCCTAACTAATAGCACATAATGCAATAAAAAATTATTATTATTATAAGCTTTTTTCATTTATTCTTAAAAGTGCTAAAATTAATTTAAACAATAAGTGAGGAAATGTCAGTTAAACCTAATTCTCTCCTAAGTGTCCAAAATCTTTCTTTATCTAAAGGTTTTGTAAAAATATCCACTAATTGGTGCAAAGTATCAACAAATTCTAGAATTATATCTTCCTTAGCGACATGGTCTCTAATGAAGTGATGTCTAATTTCAATATGCTTAGTTCTAGAGTGTTGGATGGGATTCTTAGTGAGACAAATATCACTAGTATTATCACACTTGATAGGAATGATGCCTACTTCAATTCCATAAGCAAAAAGTTGTTGTTTCATCCATAAAACTTGTGCACAACAACTACCAGCTAAAATATATTCCGCTTCAGTGGTAGATAATGCAACACAATTTTGTTTCTTTAAAAACCAAGAAATCAACATATTTCCAAGAAATTGGCAAGTACCAGAGGTGTTTTTCCTATCTAATTTGCATCCTCCATAATCCGCATCAGAGAAGGCATGCAAAGCTAGAGTCTCTAGGATACCAAAGTCTTAAACTATGAGCGTCCTTAAGGTATCTAAAGATTCTCTTAACAGCTAGTAAATGTGATTCTTTAGGACATGATTGAAATCTAGCACATAAGCAAACACTAAACATAATGTCCGGTCTACTTGCGGTTAAATAAAGCAAAGAGCCAATCATTGACCTATATAATTTAACATCCACACATTTACCTCTTTCATCTATGTCAAGCTTTGTAGAAGAGCTCAATGTAGTGTCATGAGGTTTCTCGTTTTCCAGCCCAAACTTCTTGAGCATATCCTTGACATACTTAGCTTGATTGATGAAGATGCCATATTTTCTTTGCTTGATTTGGAGTCCCAAGAAAAATGAGAGCTCCCCCATCATGCTCATCTCGAATTCACTTTGCATTAGCTTAGAAAATTCTTGGCAAAGAGCATCATTAGTAGAACCAAATATTACATCATCAACATAAATTTGAACTACTAATAAATCTTTACCTTTATGCTTTAAAAACAATGTAGTGTCAACCTTCCCTTTTGAAAAACCTTTTTCAATTAAAAAGTTTGACAATCTTTCATACCAAGCTCTAAGAGCTTGTTTTAAACCATAAAACGCTTTTGTCAATTTAAGAACATGATCTGGAAATTTTGAATCTTCAAAACCAGGAGGTTGTTCCACACACACTTCTTCTTTTATAAAACCATTTAAAAATGCACTTTTAACATCCATTTGATATAATTTAAATTCATGAAAACATGCAAATCCTAATAACATTCTAATTGTTTTCATCCTAGCTACGGGAGCGTATGTTTTTATCATAATCCATGCCCTCTTGTTGAGTATACCCTTGAGCAACAAGTCTAGCCTTGTTTCTCACTATATTACCACTCTCATCAAGCTTATTCCTAAATACCCATCTAGTACCTACAATAGACTTATTAGTAGGCCTTTCAACTAATGTTCATACTTTACTTCTCTCAAATTGATTTAACTCTTCTTGCATAGCCATAATCTAATGTTCATCTTTTAATGCTTCTTTAATATTCTTAGGCTCTATGCATGAGATAAATGCAACATAATTACAAATATTTCTAAGAGAAGAACGAGTTGTTACCCCTTTGGATGGATCACCTATTGTTTCACCATCCTTGACATAGTTGTATTCTCTTGGGTAAGAGACTTCCTTTTCTTCAATGGCTGGATTCTCGAGAGGATCTTGAGTTTTCTCATCTTTAGTTTCTTCCTTTGATGATGGTTCTTCAACGTCATGTCCAACGTCATTTATGTTTGTAATGCCTACATCATCATTCATACAAGAATCCTTCCTCGGAAGGGGATTATCATCGAAAACAACATGTATAGATTCTTCTACAACTAAATATCTTTTATTAAATACTCGATACAGTTTAGAATTTAAGGAATAACCCAAAAAAATTACTTCATCACTTTTAGCATCAAATTTGCCAAGATTATCTTTACCGTTGTTTAAAACAAAACATTTACATCCAAAAGGATGAAAATAACTAATGTTAGGTTTTTATTTTTAAAAAGTTCATATGGAGTTTTCTTCAAAATAGGCCTAATCATTACTCGATTAATAACATAACAAGTGGTATTTGTGGCTTCCGCCCAAAAGTGTTTTGGCAAATTATTTTCGCAAAGCATGGTTCTAGCCATTTCTTCTAAAGTTCGATTTTTCCTCTCAACAACTCCATTTTGTTGAGGGGTTCTAGGTGCTGAAAATTATGGCTAATAGTATTAGAATTACAAAATTCAGTAAATCCAAGATTTTCAAATTCAGTTCCATGATCACTCCTAACACTAGTTATGGAGTAACCTTTTTCGTTTTGGATTACTTTTGAAAACGTTATTAATTTTTCTAATGCTTCATCTTTAGTACTTAAGAAAAGAACCCAAGTATATCTAGAATAGTCATCTACCAATACAAATGCATATTGTTTTCCACCCAAGCTAGTAGTTTTAGATGGCCCAAAAAGATCTAGATAGATCAATTGTAATACTCTACTAGTGGATACGTCATTAATGGATTTAAAAGAAATTCGCTTTTGTTTTCCTTTAGCACAAGCATCAAAGATTTTATCATTATCAAATTTTAGTTTAGGCAACCCTCGAACTAAATCTCCTTGAATTAACCGTTGCAAAACACTCATACTAGCATGTCCTAGTCTCCTATGCCATAACCAAATATCATGCTCATCCTTAGCAACTAGGCATAAATTAGTCACATCTATGGAATCTAAATGCACCATGTAAATATTTCCTATTCTATGACCAATAAGCATAATCCGATTAGATGCAATGTCAATAACTTTACAACCATTAGTTTCAAACATGACATTGAATCCCTTATCACATAATTGACTAATACTAAAAATATTATGCTTTAATCCATTCACATATAAAACATTTTTAATTTGTATGTAAGAGGCATTACCTATTGTACATATACCTTCAATGTGACCTTTTGAATTATCACCAAAAGTCACTTATCCTCTATTTTTGGCGTTGAGCTCTATGAACTTGCTTTTGTCTCCGGTCATGTGTCTTGAGCATCCACTATCAAGGTACCATGAATTTGAATTAGTTTCCCTCGCCTTGTAGCAATTCTCCTTTTCCTACAAACATAGATTAATTTCTAATTTTTGGTACCCAAATTTTTTTGAGTTCATATTCATTAGTTTCCAAAATCCTAGTCCCCTTAGGTATCCATTTGTGTAGGATATCCCTATCTTTAGTAGTAATGAGTTCTTTAGGAACTCATATACTTTTAATGATTTTTCCATTAAAGGTTCTTCGGGGACCTCTATGATTGTAGTTTTTAAAATTTTTTCTAACAAAGTTGGATTTTGAATTTTCTCCATTTTCAAAACTTTTTGTTCCAACTTTATCAAAAGAAGCTTTAAGATCATCGATTTTCTTTTGATGATCATCATTGACCTTTGAAAGTAAATTATGCAAATCATAATTTTTCTTTTCAAACTCTTCTAGTTTGATTTGCAAATCTTTGATTTTACTTTCAAGATCATTGTTGGTCTTGGATATGAGAGTATTTCCATTTTTCAATTTCAAAATATCATTTTTATATTTTAAAAACAATTTCTCATAATCCGAAGCCAACCCAGTATATTCCTCTAACAACTCATCATAAGATAAATCATTTAAATCAAATGAGTTAGAGGTTACCTTAGAATCTTCCTCGAATGCTGTCAAGCACAAGTTTGCTACTTCTTGTTCCTCTTCATCGGAACCTTCTTCATTGCTCCATGTAGCCACATGAGCCTTGTGGTTACTCTTTTATTTACCATTTCTCTTCAATTGTGGGCAATCATATTTGACATGCCTGGTTTTTTACATTCATAGCAAATGATCAGGTCCTTCTCTTTTGGTTCATTTTGAAGCCTTCATTTCGTTTGAATTTTCTTCCTCGATTAGACCTCATCATTTTCTGAACCGTTTGGCAAAATATGTCATTTCCTCCTCATCGTCATCTTCATCCGAATCACTCTCATCTTTTGTTGATTTGAGAGCAACTCCCACGTTTTTCTTCTTCTCTATCTCCTTCTTTGGCTTGTCTCTTTTCTCAATGTCTTCCTCTTCTTTAAGCATCATTTCATGCGTGAGAAGAGAGCCAATAAGTTCATCGAGGGTCAAGGATTTTAAGTTTTTAGCCTCGATGATCGCCGTCTTCTTTGATTGCCAAGCTTTTGGAAGAGTGTAAACTAACTTCCTTACAAGCTTGTCATTTGGAATGATTTCTCCATATGATTTGAGACTATTAACAATCGTGGAGAATCTATCCGTCATAGCTTTAATATCTTCATTCGATTTCATCATGAAATTTTCATAGCTATGAGTTAGAAGATTAATTTTAGATTATTTTACCTAGTTTGTGCCTTCATGAGTGACTTGTAGTTTATCCCATATCTCATTCGCAGTTGTGCAAGATGAAACTCTCTCGTATTCATCCGGTCCAAGAGCACAAAAGATAATATGGATAGCTTTGGAGTTGAGCTGGAACATTCTTGTCTCTCCTTCACTCCACAATCTTGGGTGAGTGGAGGGTTTGATGTATCCGTCTTCTATAATATTCCATGCTCCAATGTCACTTGCTTGAATGAAATACATCATCTTATTCTTCCAATAAGCATAATTAGCTCAATTGAAGAAAGGAGCGTGTGATGCATCCATGTATAGGGCTAGTGCATCGATACACTATGTATAAAATTCAAATATTTCGACCGTTGGAAGACTTAGTGCATCGGTACACTGAGAGTGCATCGATGCATAAATATGCTTCGATGTTTTAAAAAAGCCTGGGTGCATTGGTACACTGAGAGTGCATCGATGCATAGAGCACATTCAATGTTTTAAAATAGTCGGGGTGCATCGATGCATGGCTTGTGCATCGGTGCATTGAATGCATTCGATGTTTCTATTTGTTCAAGGGTGCATCGATGCATAGAGAGTGCATCAGTACACTTAATGCATTCGAAATTCAATTTAATTGAGAGTGCATCGATGCATGGACTAGTGCATCGGTACATCTCTTTGAAAATTGAATTTTTGGCTTGGTTTTGGTTTGAAATTCTTTGTGAAAATTGTTTCAAAAATATTTTAAGTATAAAACACAATTTTACACATTAGTAAGGATTGAAATTGAACTTTGAAAGACTTAGAGTAATATTTTCATATTCAAATAATTATATCGAATATACTTAGAAAGTCTTTTGTAAAATCTTAAAATTCATTTAAATTATTTTGTTATATCGAAACATCAAAATGTTTTCAACAATGTGAATAAGGATAACTGTGAATAAGCATGTTCATGATCAAGAGTTGTTGAATGATATTAGGGAGGTTATTCGATACAAATCATGAGCTTTGTGAGGATTATGGGGTTGTATCGTTGTTGTATGTATAGTTCTTCTGGTGTATGATGTACTTTGGTTGTAGTTGCTTGCTGATTTCAGATAAATGCATACACATTTATTTAAAATGAAATAATCCATTTGTCACACTAAATGTATTTATTTTGTTTTTTAAAATTGTTTCATTCAAAATTTTATATTAAAAAAGTTAACAAACAACAACATTTAAATTTCATTTTTTATCCTTATATATCCCGGTTGCTTGTTGATTTCGGATAGTTGCATACACATTTATTTAAAAAGAAATACTCAATTTGTCCCACTAAATATATCTCTTTTATTTTTTAAAAATCTCTCATTCAAAATTTTCTATTAGAAAAGTTAACAAACAACAATACTAAAATTTCATTTTTACCCTTATATCTCCCACTATTTTACACCTGTAAAAATAAATCAGTTAAATCTACCAATCACTTTTTAAGGATAATTTTATCATTTCCCTTAGTCAAATATATATCTTAACATTATGTGCATAGTCAATATAAGACACAAATTATAAAACAAAGAGAGAATTAAAATAATATTATTAATTTAAATGATATTCTTTTAAAAAATAGCATGTTGAAAATATTTTTCAAATTTTTTAAAAAGATACACAGGTTTTCTGATATGTTGGGGTTTTCTATTAAATTTTTACATTTAAATATCATTTATATCTAAAATAAAAATAAATAGTAATAATGAATAAAAAATTGTCTAAATTAATGTTAGAGATGATAATAAGAGGCCATGAGTAATAAAGCTATGACGTCTACTAAGAATAACAAGGCATCTTATATGTGTATTTGATAGTTATATTACAAATTTTTTCCTCTTAACAGCTTAGAGATGAATAAGAAACTAAATTTAATATGGTGTTCAAATCTTATCATATCAATTCTGATCCAATTACAAATCTGAGATAAAAAAAAAAGTCAAAGGCGGTGCAAATCCAAAACAAGCGTCTTGCTCTAATCAATTTCCATATTTGTTCGTCAATATATCTCTCATGGTGGATGTGTGGACCCTACTTTAGCTCCAATCAGCGGCGCCATTAGTCTTTACTTGGTTTCAAAGTTCTCCCACCTTCCTTCTCTCTTTCCCGGTCCCATTTATTTAACGCTCTCCCTTCTTACATAACCAAACTTCCTAAAAGCTCACCGCTCTCATGTCTTATCCCTTTCTTGTTCTCTTCTTCTTCTTCCTTTTTTAAAAAGATTTTTAATCTTATTTTATTACAAGAATTTTATGTATTGAAAAATTTGTTTGTTTTATGACAAAATTTTTAAAAACTTTCCATTTCCTGGCATGAAAGGTGAATATGTAGAACCCGATAATCAAAACACCATCAACATGTTCTCAAAGCTTCACCACCACCATCAACAACAGCAACAGCAACAGCAACCTCACCCTTTCTCTCTCTCTCGTGATTCTCAAACCCCCGACTCCGATGACGCCACCCACACCGCTGATCATGCTCCCAAAGATCTTTCCACCGCCGCCACCCATAGTCCTTCTATCCCCAGTGGTGGCAGCGGAGGCGGCGGCTCGGCTCGTGGTGGCGGCGGTGTTGCTAACAGTGGTGGTGATGGAGCAAGCATCGAAATCGTTCGTAGACCGAGGGGTCGTCCTCCGGGTTCCAAGAACAAGCCAAAGCAAGCCGTTGTCATCACTCACGAGCCCGACACGGCAATGAGTCCTTACATTCTTGAAATCCCTGGGGGGAACGACATCGTAGAATCTGTCTCACGTTTTTCTCGCCGCAAGAACATTGGAATCTGCCTGCTTACGGGATCTGGAACTGTTTCCAACGTGACTCTCCGTCAACCTTCTTCGGCCACTCCGGGAGCCACCATAACTTTCCATGGCAGATTCGACATCTTGTCCCTCTCGGCCACTTTCCTATCCCAAACGACGTCATGCCACATGCCCAACACGGTTTCCATATCTTTGGCCGGTCCTCAAGGACAGGTTGTTGGAGGTTTCGTAGCTGGCCCGCTGGTAGCAGCTGGTAACGTGTTTATAGTAGCTGCTACGTTCAACAACCCTTTGTATCATCGGTTACCCGGGGATGAGGAAGGGAGGAATACGGTGTCGTCTGGTGGTGCAGGTGGACAGTCGCCGCCGTTTTCTGGTGGCGGTGGAGATAGTAGTCACGGTGGTGGGGCAGATTCGTGTGGTGTTTCGATGTATAATAGCCATATGGGTGGATCAGATGTCATTTGGGCTCCAACTGCTAGACCACCACAGCATACTCCTTACTAATGAGTTCAAAGATTTAGCCTTTTTCAGCTTTCTTTTATAAAAAAATTCTTATATGAAAGTACTGTGAATTAAGGAGGGTTAGATTTTTTTTTTCTCTTCAGTTTGAGTTTTATTTAGCCTTTTTGTACTTCCGTTCCATCAAATGATCAATCATTGACTACCGTTTTTAAAATCTTAATTATGATTTTGCTTATTAATTGATCAAGTTATTTCATTAATTAGAAAAAAATAAAAAAACGTACTTAAAAAATCAAGCCTATACAAATCTTCAAAAGCGAAGTCATTGTTGTCTTTTACGTTTGGTAGAGCTAAAGACAACCCTAGAAAATCTCGGAAATATTGTCAGGTTATTACACGTTAGATATTGGACAGATTCTCTTAAATATTTGGTGGATAAAAAATGGGAGAAGTTGGGCGGAGCTTTGCTTTGAATCTGAAACTCTGCAGCAACACCACCGCTGCCTAAAAAGATTATCTGACTCGTTGCTTTTTACTTGGCTTCTTCCTCTAGAAAAAAGCTTGTGACAGTAGAAAACATGGTTAGGGTTATGCCTGCCAGTTTGAAAAGAATTTAAAGCATTTAGTGTACCCTTCATTTCTTTTATCCAATACGATCTCGAAAACTCTTCAAGTGTTGTACAGCTTTAGTAATTTGTATTTGTTTTATTTATTTATATATTGTACTTTGATTTGTCTCTTTCTGTTCTGTTATCTTTTCTTCTAGGGGTGTGATGGGGAAAAACAAATTAACGATGAAAGAAAGATTAAGGGTTGGGGTTGTGGGATACTGGTTTACCCATCACTGCTACTCAAAGCTGCTGGATACTGGGTTCTGGGCTTACTGCTTTTTTCACCCCCGAATGAGTTAAATGACAAGTGTGTTCGGCTCTGACTGGTCATATTCCATCCAGATAAGACATTCATTGCCTGATCCTGTCATCATCTTTTCTCTTTCTCTGGGGTAAATCACAATCTATCTTTTTTTATGATGAAATTTAGCCTAAATTACATGTTCATTATTTAAATTATTAATTTTGATCAATTTTGATATTTAAATTTTTTATTTTTTAAAATCATATATAAAGTTTTGTTTTTATTTTAATTTATTATACGTTGTTAAAAAGTATAGTTTTTTATTTTATTTAAGTACTACGTTTAAAATTTAACATTAAATTTTTTAAAAAAAAGCTAGGTATCAAAATTAATTAAAATCGATAGCTTAGGCACTAAATACATTAAGTTTTAACAAAAGAGTATTAAAACGAAATGAAAATTAAATTTTAGGTATGATTTTGAAAAAAATTAAAAGTTTAAATACTAAAACAAATCAAAATTAATAATTTATATACTAAATTCATAGCTTACCATAAAATTTAAAATGTAAAGTAAACAATGTTATCAATTATAAAATATTATTTTATTGAGTCTTATAACTATTAAAAGTTATAAATGATATGCAACTATCGAATATTGTTTTTTAATCTCGAATATTTGAAGTTATAAAATTATTACTCAATTATTTAAAATGTTCCAAAATCATCTTTTTTGGTTATAAATTTGACTGCTATTTGAGATAATATGACGATTATGATATGATAAAATTTAATTCATAATCTCAAATGATTGTATAACTCAAATGATTCATTAATCATATTTTATCATGTCTCATTAGCATTTAACATTTAGTTCAAACTATCGTTAATTTTTTAATAGAACAAGATGAGTTTGAAAATATAAATAGTTGGGTGATCATTTTATAAATTTTAATAATTGAGAGATTTAACAAAATAATGACATGTAATAAAAGGAAGGTTTTGTATCTTTTTATAGATGAAGACTCAATAAAGTAACACCTATAATCGTGTACTTTGCCCAAATTGGAAATATTATACTAATGTTATATTATTATGTACCCAGTACCTATAATCGTGTTTAATATTCCTTAAATCCCAGTTGCTGATTGTTTTCCTTAAAAGCTTGATTTTAATTTATAAATTAAAAATTACAGGTACTTAAAATAAATTGATTCGATCCGAACTAATGAAAGTGGCGAGCAAGTTCCGAAGAATGTATTGTCTCGGTAAACTGACCTTATCTTGCTGACATAGTCAATCATAGATTGCACTTCAATTAATTATATATAAGGAATTATCACCTAGGAATATATTTTAATTTTATTTTGATTATTTAATTATTAAATTTTAAAAATATAATTAATATTTTATATTGATAATTCATTATAAAAAATAAAATTGTTGATATGATAATATTTTTTTAATAATATTATGGTATTGCATTATGATAACGTATCACAATCATCGTTAATTTTTAATAATGAGTTATCAACATATAATTTTAAACAAATTCAAAATATAATCAAAATAAATATTCGATGATTAAATACATAATTTACTATAAAAAGAAAAGGATATGTCATGTAATTAAGGTTTTTTAAAATCAATTAAAAGTTACATATTAAATAAATACCTTAAACTCATAGATAAGCAATTTTTAACTGATATCTATGAACAACGATTAAACAAATCTTATTTATATCAATTCCTCCTCTGAGTTTGCCTCCTATTTTCTGCACTGCCCTTATAAATAAAAGCGAAGAAATAATCAAACATGAAATGGAATGTCGTGATTAACATATTTTGGATAATTTCAGATTGTGTTTACCAAGTGGGTGTTCAATGGCCAATGGCGTTGGTCTGAAGTTTTATTTGAATTTATTAGTTTCCAAGTTGGGTGTCACGGAAAAAAACAAGAGCCAACTAGATCTAATTCCTTGTCTGCGATTAGAAATCTAAATCCTCTTTCATGATACGGGGCGCCACTTTCTCTTACCATGCTCTTGCTTATCATTAAATTACCCCACTGCTTCTTCATTTTCCTCTTCGGTAAATACGACAAAATGGTTCTCCCATGATGATTGTAATGCAAAGTTTTCTTAGTTTAGTTTACAACATTTTTCTATATTAATCTTTACTCAACGCATGAGCTTTATATCATTTGAGTTGGTTGTTCAGATTTGACTTAATTTGCATTCTGTCGGGCTCTTTTGCTGTGTAATAAGATTTGTAAAATTTGGATTGTTTTACTGTGTTTTTGTTCCATTTACAACACACAAACTAGTCAAGGGAACTATTTTACGAGTATTTTTTGGGTATTCCGATTAATCTTTTATTGAATAGGTTGTCTGTTTTCGGTGCTCACTTTGACAATAGTGATATAGATACGCTGAGTGCTGACAGCAGTGTAGCTTTTCCAAGTTCTGCACATATAATAATATAAGAAGACAGATTTTATTACCAGCCGAAAAGAAGGTTTATTTAACGGACAAAAATGAATGTCAAAGATGTATACCTTTAGACAAATTCACCCCATGCATGATTCGTTGTCTCTTGCTGCTTGACCCGACATCTCCCAAACATACGGCAGAATATTCAACATTTTCTTTTTTCTCTGAAAGTAAAAACAACTCAAGGGGTGAAAAATTAGCTATGAATATTGCATGTGTACTTTTTATATGAACACCAAACGGGAATTATAAAACAAGGCATGGAGATAGAGGCAATGGACAAGTTGGGGGTGCTGAAAGTGGTCCCCTGTGAATTAATCCAGCTTGCTATCAACTTCTCATTGAAGGGCAAGGCGGAGTGCATGCATGCGATTGGCAGTGGCCTCCTCGATAGCAGACAATTGCTTGCTTTCAATATCGGCCAGAATCAGCTACACGAATCCCCACATGCATTGCCTTGTTCTTTGTTGTTTATTAATCAAACGCTAATACTACGAAGATATGAATATGCTGTTACTGTCACTTTAGTCCTTGGGGACGGCTATCTTGGATAACTTTGGGTAATTATAATTTTTTTTCTTTTATTTCACGGGAGTTGACAAATGAACCCAAAATGATTTGACTTTTTGATTACCATCAAAACTCGTTACGTCTTAGTGTTTGGATATTATGAATTTACTTGAGAAGCTTGTTGCAAATATGGTAGCTTTTTCCAAAGTGGAGTTGTTATACGACAAAACACGCACACTTTCTTCCTCAACTCCCCATGCAGTTTTCTTTCTTTCAAGCCCACACCTTGATATTAATGTCGATTCAAATTTGTTTCGAAGGTAAAAAAAACACTTTAGAAGTTAGCCCTATTCGCCCCTTCCAAAGCTTTTACTTGTGGATTTAATATGTACAAAAGTAGGTGAAGGGTGGAAATTTTAGTCCTTTATTTATGTTTTTCCTCCAGTGAAAAATAAAATTCAAAGCGTTTGACCAATGGAAGTTGTTTTCGATGAAATATTCAAAGATATTGGCTTTGACTGACCCAAAAAAAAAAAAGAAACCCTAAGAAGAATGATACGTCCAAGTTGTAAAGTGTGGATCTCATTTTGACTTCGATTATTTCCATTGAATTCATAAAAGGATAGTATATAGTTGGTAACAAAGTCTAGTATAATACCAAAAGTTATACTATCCCTAATCTATATTTGCATCTGTACGTATAAATAATATACGTGTACCTCTCTACCACTATATAACACAGGTAGGGTAGTTGTATGCCCAAACTAAGTCCTTATGACTACTTAGTACAAAAGTTACTATTATTTGTAATCAATGTTGTTTTTTCCGGTTTGGTATTTAATTTTAGATTAAAAGGTTGGCATTTAGGATTTACTTGGGGTTTATATTTTAGATTACGATGGGCTTTTTTAAGAAAAGAGTACGTGCACTATTAATGGTAGTAAATGGATCATATATAAATAGCAATAGGCCCAAAGGGGTTTAAACTCGATTCTCATCGGATTTGATGCTTTGGTCCAACACAAAGCTTGGGCCTAATTTTCTGGACCAAAACCAAGCAAGACAAGGCCTTGATTTTGCCTTTGCCTACGAGCGTGCTTCAACAGCAGCTGCTAATTCAAACTCTTGTTCTGTTACATTAAGTACACAGGACGGTTGTAAACCGATTGGAAAAGTTGAAGAATTCATTCTTAAGCAAAAATGAAAAAGGACAGGTATGGGGTCGGAATGTAAGAGAAGGATCCAAATGAATTCCATGGACGCAAATGGAAGGCAAAGTTTACCACTTGTACTTCATTCTCAAGTATATCTCATAATTAAAGAAGTCATTTTCTTTCTTCTTAAGTCGACAGCTAGTAATGTTCTCAACTGTATAACCTCGTGAGCTTTGCTGGATCCTGGTGTGGGGACTCCTTGCAAATTATTGTATCGATGAGCGAGCCTTAAAAATGAAAAAAAATCAAAATCAAAGCCTTTTTCTGTTGTTTCTTGTAAATCCAAGACATGAACTAAAATAATTGATCAATTCTCTAGCCAATCTAAATAAAAATATATGGAATATATAGGATAAGATGCTGCCAAAACCTAGGTCCAGTCAGCTCCCCGGGAATCTGCAGATCGAGAGTTTCATTCGTTATTTACAAAAATACGAGTATCACAAGAGGTGGGTCCCGGTTTAGTTTCAAAAAAGTCTTCGTCCACCCGTGACCCCATCTCATTCTCATGCAAACTTACGTAGAGACAAAGTTGTTGCGAAGAACGACTATCGGATAGAGTAAAATCGTAATTAATAATTTGAGAAAATAAAATAAATATAAATAAGACAAAATTTACGTGAAAAATCCCTAAATAATATAGTGTAAAAATCACGAGTAACGGTATAAGAATTTCACTATGAGAAAATAGGAATTACAACCTCTCTCAATCTACCAAGGAGAAAACAATGATAATTCTATCTTGATAAAAAAGGAGAAAAACAACTCTCAAGAAACTCTTTAAATTTTCTAGTATTGGGAGAAAACTAGAATGATTTGGGATCGTTTTGAAGCTAAATGAGTTAGGGTATTTATAGTTGAAGCTTAAGGACTAATTTGTAAATACCCTAAATTACAATGACTAAAATTA